TAGTGCAGGATTTATCATAAACCGTGTAGAAGGAAGGCCGATAGTACGCCTTTTTACGCAACCTATCATGAAGAAAGAAGGTCGCTAGCGCGCCCTTCGACACAAACTATAGTATCGAGATACACGATCTTCATCACAATAATGTAGTGCAACTGCATGCTTGGACTGCTACAGGCGGCCTAGTGTGCACTGGTGCTGGCTGCGTGTCGTCGGGCCTTGCAGGGTCGAGCGTTATGCTGCGTCGTATGACAAAGTTGATGGGGACGCTGACATGCATGTGTGATGCCCATAAAATCATCATGTCACCATGTCGTGCAACTGTTGTGCGCATCGCCCACCTGCGGGGCGTGATTCTCGCCCACGTGGTGAAGCGTCTACGAGAAACTCGTGCATAGGCCAACGCACTCAACATGCCCGTGCGTTTGCGTCCAGCACCATGACCCATCTGTGGCCAGCCTGCAGCATCTGCAAGGTTTGCGGCCAACCTGTGGTGTGAAATTTCCTCTAATGCCGAGCCTTTTTTTCATCTCCTCCAGCTTTTGCTTAATGTTTCCATTCTCAGGTGTGAAATACCCTTTCCCGAGGTCTCTTTTGGATCTGACCTCAGCTTCATCATTGAAGGCTTTAGAACCTTCGCCATGACTGTCGTCTCTATCCTTTTGACCAAAGGATGCTTTTTTTTTTTAGCACACCCGTCATCAAGTTCTTCAATTCAAAGAAGTTATTTTTTCCACTCTTTGCAGTTGTTGGGTCTCCGCCACCGAGGCGGCAGAACCTTGAGAATTTTGGGCTTGGTTAGGGTTAGCTGAGAGTTCGTCTGGCTTCTTTGAAGTTGATCATGTCACAAAACGTTCCCTGTCCCTCGACTGTTTTACGTTCTCTCCGTGTTACCATGAATCCTCTTACTAAGTCGTCGGTGTTCCCACAATTGACGCCATGCAAGAAATACCTGACTTTAGTCCGATGGCGCGTATCAATTATGTATGCTCTGATGTCCTCCTTAGTGCGTCTCTTTTGCTCCGGCGCCAACACAACCCATGATTTTCCAAGGGGTAGATCTCCTGATGCTTACATAAGATAGGGTTTAGGGCAACTGTGAAGCACGAGTAAAGTATGAGAGATTCTGGCCTTGGGACGTTCTTTTATTGAGGTCGGACGATATAGGTTTCCTTCTGTAGAAAGAAGACTTCCCATCCCATTATATAATCCACAAGTTGGGCTATCTAGGGACCTTGAGCCCAAAGTAAGGCTTTTGGGACGTTGATCTTGAAATTGAGGTTGAGCATTCGCCTTGACTTTGGACACTGAAGGTTCTTGAAACAACGTATTTTTATTCTGTCGAGTCACGTGTCGCCTAATAAAATATATTTTTTTCCTTATCAACTTTCATTTTATATCAAATTATCAACAAAAAAAAATTATAGAATATCGTATTTTTGTATGTATTTAGATAAGACTAGTACTAATTAATAGTATACCCATGTAAAACATGAGTGTTGAGTTAAAGAATATATGTGTAAAGTTATTTATGTCTAATACCAAACCTAACTCCAGAGCAAAAATAATATAAAAGCAACATCACGAAATATAAATTTTCGCCATGTTAGCATCCAAAGCGTGAGAATCTGCCACATAAACTCAACACGTTTTAAATTAATATATAAGGAGGGATAATGCAAGGTTTCGTCCCGTCCTAACATTATCGAACTTGCATTGATTTCGCATGATGTAACAAAAAACCAACAATCGAGCAATAGTAAGCAAAAAACAAAGGAAAAAAAATTATTACTATATTCATTTATAGAGTAAAATGTTATGAAAGAGCAAAACACGCAATGTAAATAATGTCCTCCTTTAATCCCCTACAGTTGTTCTAATGTCGGCCTGCTCTCTCTGTACTATTATACCAACACGCGCACACACGCGCACAGATACGTATATAGTTTATAATACGTTTTTGTACATCTAGCATCGACCTTGACTAATTGGAGGAGAACAATAAAATTATAATTATAATTATAATTTAACATATATACTCTTGCACAGTGCAAATCGTGCTATAAAGAGAGCAGGGCTATTGTTGGCGTCGGGTTTTCCGGCGGGTCCTAAGATTTTCTCTCCTTTTTCCGGCAACCCTCATCCACCGGAGCTCCGCCGTCCTCCCCCACCGTCCTATCTTTCCACGTGAGCTGCAAAGTTTCCATCTTTAGCAAATTTTTCCTATTTGTTACGGTTGTTCTTGGTTTCAAGAAATTCTCGGACGAGGTACTGTACGGGTCGCCTCAGTGGTTTGATGGGCCAGCCCAGTTTTTGTCTGCTTGTCTAATTCGAGGGTGGATTTTTGAGAAGGCCCAAGTGGTTTTGGGACCTGAAGCTATTTTAACAGTGGTCCTTGCAATGTGTTGTAGATTGAGGGAAAATGGTTTACTGGGTTTTCAGGTGAAGCTGTTCTGGAGAACTGTGGTTGAGTTTATTTTGTTGAAGCTTTTTGGGTTTTGTTCTGAAATAGTGAAATCTTTTGGTGACAAGTTAAGAGGCTTTATCTTGAACCTTTACTGATTTGTTCAAAGAAAGGGTTTTTTTTTTTTTTTTTTTTTTTTTTTTTTTTTTTGTTTTTTCTTTGAGTTAGGACAAAGATTGATGGATGTAATTTTGGGGTAATAGGTTGTTGAATTTTGTCTGAAAGTTAAATCTTTATGTGACATGTAAGGAGGCTTTAACTTGAAACTTAACTGAGTTGTTGTTCAAAGGTAGGATCTTTTTTCCTTTGTTTTCCTTGGGTTGGGACAAATATTGGTTGGTGTAATATTGGGGACAATATTTTTTGGGTGAAAGGAAGAAAAAATTGCAGAGTGCATAGGTGAAGTTTTTGCAGCAATGAAGATCCCAACCAATGGACTTTTGGCAAATTCAGGAGAAGGTATGTTTGTATCTTCTTCTTCTTCTTCTTTGATGAAATTACTTGATAATTTTTCTTCTTTTTGTTTCCAAAGGAAGCTAAACTATAATAATTCTTTTACCTTTTGGATGCAGCAAAGGTTTCATGTTGAGTTCTAACCTTAGCACTTTTCTGATACATAAACTTTGTGTTGAGATTAGAGTAGGTTGTATAACACGAGCTTTTCGTGATCCAGACTCGTAATCGAAAGATTTGTTACCTTTTTAATCCAGTTTTATGTGTTTTTATATGTTTTTTTTTTTTTTTT